TGAACGTGTATATATATACATTTGAGAACAAATGGAACAACATTTTCTAAGTTTCCAAGATGTGTTAAAACATTGTATCTTAAAATAGCTCTAAGTGCTACTTTTTCGAAAAATTTTCGAAAAATTTTAATTTGACTTTTAAACATCATAAAATTATCAATAACAATTAGCCCAATGTGATATTTTAGAGTGTTATGATAATCATTTCAAAAAACATTTTCTTACTAATACACAACATCGATTTGCTTAGTAAAAAAACGAGTATTTGTATTACCCGTTTATTCGATTATTTTGACGGATCATCAAGTGAGTCGATACTTTTTGTAGGGGTGTGTATATAATTGTTGTGCAGAGGGAAATTTGATTTTTTTACTACAGTGCAGGACACCTAATCCCGCAACTTACTGCGCCACGACGACGAATTTTGGGAAAAAATTTCCAATCAAAAATGCAATAAAAATTGTTTTGTCATGTGATATTTCCTAGTCATTCCATAAATAGTAAAATCGGCAATAAGAATAAACATTGGGTTACCTAATATGGATGTGATCATCAACTAAAAATTCAAAAACTTTTATTTTGTTTCAATTTGTTCATTTTTATATATATATAAATCGCGTGTAACGCGACAGTTTTGGGCTTAACATAGTAAACTTGTGCAACTTTGAGGCTTGATCTCTCCATGTGGTGTAATTAATGCCGATCATTTCTTAAAATTGAATACCCGCTATGTTGGTCACACCATCATCCATGACTGAATCATAAAATGTTTGGGCAGACCTCACTCAGCAAAAAAAAATGATATCCCAAAAGCATGGAAAAGCACCAATATTTACCCCATTCCAAAACCAAAAGAATGGGAATGTCAACTCAATAATACTCATCCCATTACCCTCCTGGATACTACAAGAAAAGCATCGGTTCATCTTCTTAACAACTGTATTGCAAAAATATTCTTAAATAACAGAATTCTCAAAGGCAACCAGTTTGCTGGTTTACCTGGTACCTCAACATTTGAACCCATTCATATTATTAATGAAATCATACAAGATGCAAGAGAAATGAAAAATGAAATCTGGATCCTATTCCAAGATTTATCAAAAGCCTATGATCATATGCTAGTTAAAGCTATGGAGCATCTCAAACTCCCTTCAACATTTATTAATTTAATTTTTAACATATTTACAAACAGAAAAAATAGAATTTTTACAGAAGTAGGTCTCACAAATGAATACAATGTGTTAATAGGTATAGATCAGGGAGAAGTTATGTCACCTCTTCTCTGGTGCATTTATTACAACTCACTACTTTGTGAAATTGAATCCAGAGGACTTGGATATAACCTAAAACATTCTCATTGTCAAAACATATATATCAAAGATTATAATTTGGACAGCATATGTATTAGTAATATTGGTTTTATGGATGACATAACATGGATAACAGAAGAAATTTTGACCATTACAGATGATTTCTATAATTTGAATAGCATAAAAGTCAACAAAGACAAATCTGCTTTACTAAAACATCAACCAGATTTTGATGATGACAACAATTCTGTGCAACTACAATTTGGTTTAGAAACTATCAACATACAACCCAACAACTATAAAGAATCAGCACATATCCTAGGTGTTTGGGTAAATTTAGATGCAGATAGAAGATTTGTCATCCAACAACAATGTAAAGATGAAATAATCCAATTCTGTAATTTAATGAAATCCAAAACAAGCTACTGATAAACAAATTTTATACTTGTGGAACATAGTCAACTTTAGAGAGCAATTGTTGCATTTTCAAAAGCTAATTATATTCAAAGAATTTCCATTGATACATGATTTTGTTAGACATTGTATCTGGTCAATAATAGTTCATCAACAGCATCTTGAGGGAATGGTTAATAGATTTGATATTAGAACCCATCCCAATATGTGTGATTCTAGACTTCAACTTTCAGGCCCCACTTCATTTAATCATGTAATTACAGCAGAAAAATTGACAGTGACCCAAGCAAAAAGAAGGGAGAAAGCTTCTTTGTCTATAGACTCTCCTGCCATTGAATAAATTTAGAATAGCTACCAGAACTTAAGATGTGGTTATCAATGTCAATTATAGTTTTAGATTTAGCTAGAGAATATTTAATAGCTGATGCAGCCAAGTTGACTTCAGAAACATATCTTTTGTATCTTGCCCCATAAATTGCATCAACTACTACTGCACACCTAAAAAGTTTTTCACCTTCAAGTTGCTCCTTCTCAGTTTCATTTCCTATAAGTGTTTCAACAAATTTAACCACAACTGGATTGCGTTTGGAAAGCCATTCAGAAGGTGAATATTTTAAAAGATTGTCCAAAGTAAATCTTTCCTTATTATCTATTAAATTGATGATATCATCATATAATGTTTTACGTTCCTTCCTGGCAATTTCAGTAATAATTTCAATTCTTGATTGACAATCATTGAGTTTTACATCCAATCTTTCTTGTAATTTTTTATTTTCTGATAATAATTTTTCCCTATCCAATAATAATCTTTCATTATCTGACTCAAGTTCATTTATTTTTTTCATATACTGACTTATAAGATTTACATAATGTATTCTTTGATTTTCCGATTCAAATAATTCATTTTTTATTTTTGATAATTCTATTGAAAGGTTTATGTGTTCTTGGTCTTGTTCCTCTTTTTGAGTTGCTGCATCTTTATCAATAGTCATTTTAAGTCGTTTTGGTTGGCCTTCTTCCGAAGAACTAAAAATAAAATTATCTTTCTTTAATTTCTCAAGTAAATGATCATTAGTAACAATTTGATTATAATGTCTCACACAGATGGAATAATTATCTAAAGAATTAATTAATGAAAATAATTCAGTAAAATACTTAGCAAATAGTTTTAAACGGTCTTTTACTTTATTCCCTGTTGCATTTTTAACATATTTATCAGTATTAGAGGAACATAGCTTCAAATGACTCTCTGGATATTTGTCAACAAGTGCAGCAAATAAGCAGGGTAAATCACTAGCAATAGGTCTTGTCGTTTTATCCACTAAAGTTCAAAGAGAAAAAAAAAAAAAACTTAAATTTAAACGCGTAGCACTTAAATTTCTTTAAATTTATGTAAAGGCTTACTTTGAACAAATTAATAGGTTTTTGTAGATTTTTAGTAGATTATGAAAAAGCAAGTTCAATACTGTTTATTTTGATTATTATTATTATAATTTAAAAAAAAAAGATTTTCAAAAGGCAGCAAAGTATCACATTAACTTGTTCACCACACATATGAATTGATTGACAAAGGAGTTCCAATTTTTCTAGATTTGATTTCCAAATTTGGTAATAATCCTGACTGAATTATGGGACAACTGCAATAAGTATGACCTATATATGAATGAGACGTAATATCTTTCTCAAGACTATACAAGTAAATGAAAAACAAAGTTACATTACAAACTAGAGTGACGAAGAATGGAGATAACCACCATTATTTTAATAAACATTTATTTCTTTCAACTGATTCATTGTGTTTTCTTCTTTTTTGAATTTGTGTAAGGCATTGTTTTAGAAGGTCTGGGCCACTTCACCAACAGGACTAAGGTTTCTGGTCAAAACTGCTTCTATTAGTAGCCGAAATTGCCCAAATACTTTGGGCAAAAATTATTTTTTTATAAGCCCAAACTACTTTTTGTTATTAGCCAAAATTGGGCGAAATTATTTTAAAGTTGTTTAAGTTAAAACAAGTTGATTCATATAGTTTTTTAATGTTCATGCTTATAGAAAATGTTGAGAAGCCCAAATTGCCCAAACTAGTTTGGGCTTTGAGAAAACAGTTTGGACCAGAAACCTTAAACAGGACACTTTATTGACAACACACAGGGTTTAATAAAATGTTAAAATAACACACCATTTGTTGTCAGTGAAGTGTCCTGTCAGTAAAGTGGTTGTCAATAAAGTGGACGGGACCCAATTCATTGTTAGAGTTAGATTTATTAATATTATGTAAATATAAATTTGAAGACTACAACAAGGACAATGACAATGTTATTTATTAAATTATTATCATGATGATGGAGATGATACATGAAGTTGAGAAAATTACAATATTTATTTATACATGTTAAAGGTTCTATCATCTAGTTCTCTGATTTCTTTGAAATCCTAATTTATCCTAATTAAATGTATTACTTGAACATTCTATTATTTTTAAGTTATTTCTAAAGTGATCCAATCATTTAAATTCCTTCATTAAACTTAATCTAAGAATTAAAGACAGGCACCCATCTATAGTATATATATATTAAAAAATTTTAATTTCGGAAATTATTAATGTTAATCAAATGCGTTACAGGACATGAGGGCATACTGCGACAAAGTGAACATTGGTATTACCAAGAATTTCAGGGATCAAAATTTAGTCATTTGTAATGTGATTATAATTATTATTATCAGTTTTATAATATCCCATTTGTTATCTTAAGTGATATATAGAATTACCTCTATATAAAAATAGTTAATATGAGACTCATTTACATCAGATCTACTATGGAACCCAAGAATTATAGCACCATTAGAAGTATTCTGAAGAAAGAACAAGGTGAAAAAATTGCTCCTTACATTGGGATTCAACTCAGTTGTTTTGTCAAATAATTGCTTGAAATCCTTTCATAGATTTCCATTTCTTGTGAATATTGTTTATCACTAGTAAGTTTGTCTGATTTATTTTTTAATTGGCTTTTTCTTGGTTCTATTTTATTGATTATTTGATCAATTTTTTGATTTATAATATAAAATTGATTTTCACAAGTTTTATAGTGAAATAAGAAACCAAGGAAAACTCCAATTAACAACTTGCAAAAAAATTCATCATTGAATGTAAGCATTTTTTTTAAAAAAATGTTATTATGGATGAAAATATTTATTATTTTTTTTTTTTAAACCAAAATAAAATTGTCAATGGTGATTATTAGAAGGATTTGTTATTTAGACCTAGGGATCCAACGTTTTATGATAGTATTCAGTGATGATGATGAATCTAACAAATTAGATCTTAAAGTAAAAATTATAGACGTAATTAATATGAATATAATTTATAATTCTTTATTGACTTTTTTAAAGAAAAATCGACTTACTCTTATTTTAAATAAGCTCAAAGAATATGATGAACATATACACAAATTAGTTTACGAAATAAATGATGGGATGTTAAATGACGAATTGAAAGAAGACAACTATATAGCAAGCGGAATACTTTTTATAAAGACCTTGCGAATAAAAATAAGAGACTGTATGGACGTTTAAAAGCAAAAAAACTTGATAATTTACTTCAACCTGTTAAACTCAAAATCGAACGATTAGATTCTATACAAAATCGGTTTATTATTGCATTTATGAATGATCTAAATACTCAAATACCGGTTGGAACAAATCATAAGTATTATTACGAACTTATATTGCTCCTTCTTTCAATGCAAAATATATGGAATTCAATCAATTATCAAGTAGAAGAAATGAAAGTAAGTGGAGAAATGACATGATCTCTCCGATAATAAGATTTTTGTCATTTGATTCCAGCAAAAAAGTTATCAAGTTAAGGTATGTAACAAGTTTTGTAATCGAGGATGTGCAAGTGAGCAGGAGAGACCGTTCTGGGAATACAAAATTAACAGGGAGGGACACAAAAATTTAACTCACGCAATTTGTTATTGACCAATTAAAATCGTGAATTTGATAACGTAGAAATGAATGTGTTTGATTCATTTTGTCAACAATCACTTCACCAACAATTATTTCGTTAACGAATTTAAGAAGTTGGAAGCAACCACGCGACGAACCATCGAAACAGTCTAATAAATTAAATCGTACCACTCGAAAATGTATTTAAAGGGTTGGTTTTCGACTTGGTTGAAGAATAACTCTCTTCCTAACTCTTCTCTTGACCAT